TTTAGGTTTCCAGTTAAATGTTTTATTATACCGAGTCTAAAAATACTGTAATCTGCATATAAAATGCCCATCATGTGAAGGTTTTTAATTGTAGAATATAAATTCAGCTACAGCCCTGACTTGAGGAAAAAAGATTTATTATCTTTCAAGTTTTTTCATGAGCCCAATAACCCTGTAAATGTGTGATCCATGTCTTAAAATTATGATGAACTTACCTCCAGGCCAGAGGTGGTGGTGACCTTGACTTCAGTTTCTTAACACAATCATGTTAAAGATTAACTTCATAAACTACAACTGACTGAGAAAAACAATGTCAATGTCTTCCAGATATATGAATGCTGCTAAGATGGGAGAGGACGTAGTCATCACTGCTCAGGTTCTGAAGCAAGGACGGACACTGGCGTTTGCCACCGTAGACCTCACCAACAAGGTCACAGGGAAGCTCATTGCACAAGGAAGACACACTAAACACCTTGGCAACAGCTAAACTGTCCCCAATCTGTGCCTGTTTGTAAATCACATGTCATATTTGTAGTGTCAAAACAAGAGCCTCTGAGTAAGATCTAAACTAACCTGAATGTAAATAGCTTGCAAAAATCACTGATTGTGTAAAAAAACATTGTTAACAGTGGTGGGTGCCACAACTTCATAATATTACTCACTGCTGGCTATTTACTGACCTGTGGTGTTACAGCTGTTGCATATTTGTCATCAATCCTGACCTAACTACAGTATCAATAGTTCATGCACATGCAATAAAACAAATAGACAAAGTTGGTTATGCTTTCAGAATTTGCACTGTATTGGGATATGCTCAGCAGTATTGATTTGAGAATCATCAACAGAAAAAAACCCAGAAGTTACACGCCTTATAACCTTTCAATTGAACACACTGAATCAACAATGAGCAAAATTATATGTACTATGTACTTATTCTTTGACAAGCAAGCCTGCAAAACCCAATTTTAATTTGATGAGCATGGCAGGAAATTATCTTAATTTTACTAGGTCAAATTAAACAAAAAAAATCAGTTAGCTTTCAGCAACTTTTGTTAGGTATGTTAAACATTAAATCTGTCACCACATTTCAGTTTCTCACCAACCCACATCCCGAATAAAACAAAACATAGAACATCAGATTTCAGTAGCTTAAATGAATAGTGCATGAACGGCTTGAACGGTGACAATGACCTTCAACATCTAACATGTCTCAACTTTGTGTACAATGCCTTTCAAGTCACTCAAGATTTTAGCAAAGGCCTGCCTAGCATGTTTCAGAGGAAAGCAAATGACACCAAAACATCTTTTTAAAGTCCAGCAAAAAAACTAAGGCGGTTTATAAGAAGCAATTCCTACACCATATGATTTGACAAATATTGTTCATCTTGTTATCTTTGCGTATACAGGTGTTTTAACACCTATTCACACCTGTCCTTGGTCAAAAGAATGTGTAAAGTTGTTCTAGAAACTCCAATGACATAACAAACAAGCTTTAACAATCCTTTCTTATGACAACAAGGATATAAAACACGTCCATCTGAGAACCACCGTGAAGACCTGGGTACTGTTTGTTCCTGTTTTGATGCAACATAAAGAGTTCCTTCAATGACCGGTGCTGTTGACAGTGCGGCTCCAAGAGAACAACCAACCACTCAAAATCAATGTTCGTGCAGGTTCAAATAAACAAAAATGGATGAGTGAGTAGGAGGGAATGAACAGGGAGAAAAAAATGGGGGAACCAACTAAAATGGCATAGAGAAGAGGGGGAACATTGGGAGCGTGAGGAAAAAAAAAAAAACAAGGATGGGAACTGAATCAGCTTCAGGTCAGGGAGGGGAGAACGAGTAGGTAACAAAAGGAGAGATCCAAGCACAAGTTCAAATCTTTTAAAAAGGAAACAGGTGGAGATGAGTACATCAATTTGCTTCTGAAGGCTTAGGCAGGAGGGAGGGGAAGGGCTTTTCCCTATGTGGCTGGGTGGAGCAGGAAGCCTTAATCAGGCATGTATGGGCGGAGGTGATCCTCGATGTCTCCCACACCCCAGCAGGTCAGCTGGTCCTGAGGCAAGTACAGGCAGAGGCTGCACAACTTGAAAACTGTGGCCTTGGTTTTAGGAGTCTGCAATAGAGGTGGACAGAGAACATTTGTAGTAAGGTCTGTCTGAAACTCTGTAGAGTTTTCAGCTTTTAGAATCTGTTTCAATATAATTTAAGGGGACTGACTCACCTGTAAGTGCTGTCTATCCATGAAGAGAAATACAGACTGAGTTGGGTTGTTCATGACCATTCCAGCCTTGTCTTTACGACCCAAAGCATGCAAGCACTGCTTCTCGTAGTCTCCATGATGAAATTCAAACTTGGCCTGTAAATCAGAGGAAAGACGTGTGTACCAAGAAGTAAATAGTGTTAACATTCAGACTAGGGTTGAGTGATATATGTATCCAATTAAGTGGATTAACCTTTTTTTTTGCATGTGTATAGTGTCTGCAATGTGACTGTGTCTTTGTTTGTGTGCTATAAGTAACCGTGCATTTTGCTAGTACTTAAGTTGAGAATTGTGCACATGCTTATGGGGAAAAAAACCTTAACATTTTATGTTTCGGCTATATTGCCCTGCCTTAATCCAGACATACAACTTCATGGAGAACAGAGTTTGCATTAGAATATATATAAAAAAAAATAAATAAAAAAAACAGGCTTCAGACATCTGAGTAATCTGATGAGGTGACAAGTTCTGACCTGAACAGGCCTAAAGGGTTCGTCATCGGCCCCCTTCCATCTGGAGAACAGCAGACAGACAATCTTCTCAATATCGTTGCGTGGCCAAAGGATGAAGTCCATCTCCTGTGTGCAGCCTATCACATCCTAAGACGACATGGGAAGAAAAGATAATGTATTAACATGACTAGATGTTTTCTACAACATATCCCATCTTCAGAGGGTTCACTTACCCTTCGCATTGACTGGTATCGGGGGGCATGTAGTTGCACAACATCTTTTTGCAGGAGTTCTATGGAACTCTCAAGAGAGTAGCTGGAATCCCGCACACCGCGTAGGATGTTTTCTTCATAGTTGTTGGTCATCACTGGCACCACTTCAGCAACCTCAAAAAGTGCAGACTTCTTCTTCTGTAATGACAAAGAAAACAGAAACAAACCACAAATATTGTAAGTTATTGATTGGCTTGATCATATAAGTTTGAACAGGAGAGCAAATTAGGTATATGGTATGGGGTTAAAAATGTCAATTACTGTAATCTTCCATTTTGCTGACAAACCTTTTCCTTGAAAACGAAGGCTATATAAATCTTGAAGTCAAACTGATCAGCCAAAGATTCCCTTTTCTTCCGAAGTTGAGCTCGAAGGCGATTTCTTGTTTGATTTCTTCGTGAAGTTGGGTCCCCCATGGTTAGATTTTGATGGCAATGTTCTTCTCTTGTGCAGAATATTTTGGCTACACTCTCTACTTTTGTATTTATACGTTGGATAAAGGATGGAGTTAGCTACCCTTTGCAGAGACAACCCATCAAACAACTCTAGGCTAGATCTGTGAAATACCCACTAACTACCAACTGAAAAGGTCAACAAATCATAAACAAGACTAAGTCATTTTAAATTTTTTTGGAAAAGGGCAGTGTTGAGGAGGGGAATGATCAACGAGCTAAGACTACATCTCCTTATTACTTGACCAGAAATCCATGTTTTAAGACATGACTTAAGCCAAATGAGTTTTTTTTTTTCAACCTGCCATCGACAAGGGATTACAACGGAGATTTAAATGAAACAGCAACTCAAATCTGACTATTTTTTATTCTGAAAACTGATACTGAAATCAACAGAAACGGCTGCGACTATAAAAACCCATATCGGCAATATATTTTTGCTAGTGAATTTGAGGACTACAGAGACTAGCAAGCAGACAAATATTCTATTGTTTGGGTCATTTCAAAGTCCCTCATCCATGGCTGTCGTTTTGTGTTTGTTTCTCTGTAGAGACTGCGTTATGTGCGTGTTACAGAGGGATCGGGGATACAGACGAACATGGCAGGTAAATACAGATGCCAGGAGATATTGGCACCGGGTAACATCGAAGACTACTGCGAAAGTAACTTGACATTTCCTTGACTTTTACTGCCACTCATTTGGCCCACGGCCTGCGGTGCTGCCACTGCTGATAGTCATGATGTGGGCGTATTTTTAGCACACTAGCTAAGGTGAGCTAGCAAGCTAATCTAGGCATTCACTTCCGACACTAACTAGTAGTGAACCAACGATATAGCTACATCTTATCTTCTGACTGATTGGCTTAATTGAGGCCTATGTGTGGTTGGCTAGCTAGCGTACAGTCATCTCTCCACGCGTTTACATCTTCTCGCTTGGTTCAATGTGACTGCCAGTGCTGTGAGAGTCAGGAGACCTGCAGGGTTGACTGACTAACTGATTGTGCTCGTGCTCAGCATTTTAGCTAGGTATAATTTGCTTCAGTCGTGTCTTGTCAACAACTTCATCGACAAAACTCAGCCAGAGAATCAGTAGCCAAACCAACGACACACGTTGAATGGCGAAATAAACATTAGCTAGACAAAATCTCCCCTTTCCACGTCTGAAGTTTCGAGGTGTTTGCTGCGCTTGTTTTCTTTCTCTTCTTTTCTTCAGTCGTCACAACCTCCGACTCGCCCTGCTGCATGCCATGTCAAGATAAATCGACAATCCAGCGGAAATCCTCCGTTCTTTCAATCGACAAGTGGCGTGTTCTGTCTCCCGGCGGGCCCATATTTAACGGCGTGTCGTCCAACGTTTTTCCGTTTGGTTTCTTTGTGTGTTTTCAGGCAGCTAATAATGGCACACACAAGCTCGTCGGTCCACAGCCTCCCCAAAATGGCTGCACAGTCAACTACAAAGATGTGACGTATGTTGACATGTGACCGCACGAGGAAAAAAACAACAGCATGAAAAAAAACCCTCCTCGTGAGTGGCGCCTTTACCACGTGACTGGGTGGGCGTATTTAAGCCCCTGGCGCGAGATCCGCACGGAAGAGAATAGGCATCCACAGTAAGGAACAGCCCTTCGGCCACGGTAAGTCGATTTAACGTATGAATACTTTATTAATGCCTTAATTTAATTCCATCCACATCTGCCGCTCGCGTCGTATTACTAGCGTTAGCTAGCTTTGAGCTAGCTCAGTATTTGCACCATTAAATTATCTTATTTTTTAACGTGAGCTGACTCAGATGGCCTATTGCACTGCATTTTTTCCTACGGACGTGGCGACATATTCACCATATTTCACTTGTCTTTTAACCAGCCAATGATATTAAATTTAACCCAACACTAACTTATTTTGACCTTTTTCAAGTGTATCTCAAAAAACATCACTTATTCTTCCGTGTATTTTGACGTTATGTTAATAATTGCCCCATCAGGTATCTTGAAAGAAAATGAGTGTCGGTGGAAAGCTAAAACACAGCCAGCAGAGGTCTAATGAGAATATAAAGGTGAGTAATTAATTGTTGCAAACTAATGGTATGTGATGCTAACTGATGGGTAGTGTACAAGTAGTATATTGTCATGATGTCTTAACCATTGTATGAATGATCTATCATGCAGCCAATTTACATACAATTAACAGCCAGCAGAGCTTAGTGTCTGCAGGTGAGGCTGGCAAGAGGAAAGGGCAGCTGTATCAGAAGAAGGCACTCATGGCAGAACTAAATGTGTACACAACTGCATAGTCTAGATATTTTAATGCATTTTAAACATAAGCTCAAAGGTTTGCTTTTTTCACAGATGAGATTTTGACATGTCTTAGATGGGAAATACTGGTGTAAATAAGAATAAATGATGGCTGAATTCCATTTAGCTGCTTTGGTTTCGGGGCCCTGGTATTATGCATGCTGGCACATTGTCATGTCATACTAGGATCAAGTCAAAATGTTATGCTGTGAAAAAGGCAGGTCAGTAGTACATGACTGCAGATATGGAGTGGTAAGTTGCATTGTAATGTGAGGAAAGTTTGACTCTGCTGTGATTATACAGTTTGAGAATATTGAGTTTGAGCATTGTTGTATTGTTGGATTACATGTTGCTTATTTGGCTTCTAAGTTTTAGACAGAATATTTCGATTTGCTTTCTACTTGGCTATTTGTCAAGTATAAGGCATTGTCTCACCACAGCTCACAATCAGCAACAGATTAGCCTTATGGGCATGACAGGCAGTGTTTGTGAAACTGCAGCCAAACATTTACAAACTGCTTGTTGGCTGCTCTGTAATGAGCCTTGAAGAGAAACTTTCCCACGGCTGTTGAAAAACTTTGGGCCCTACCCCTGTTTCCCACACCTGTGGTCCTGTTGCACATGGCAGCAGTGTTGTTAAGCCACTTCACTTATGCCCTCTCCCATGGTGACAGTGTAACTAAAGTAAAGCGTGCAAAGTGATGCTAAGCCCTGGTGAATAGAGGCTTTAAAAATGAGAACACAGGTCATGGTAGTTTCCCATGTAACTCAGTCTTGAAGAGAGAAGACTAATTTGGGAAGGGGTTGGGATGTTCCTCTCCATTTTGCTATTTTCATATTTGATTTGTGATCTACTCGATATAAGCTGACACTAACTTGTCTTTGCTTTCTTCCAGACCTTTTTCACACCATCTCAAAAGGTAATGGGACCCCCCAGGCAAACCCTGCAGGTTCTCCAACTCTCAGCTACCAACAAAGATATGGGGAGGTCAGCTCAGGTATGCAGTGACTTGTCACTGGAACTCATTTGATTAAATATCCGTTTGTCCTCGTTTCTATTGCATTTGGTATAGACATTGTTCTGTTGAGCTAACAAGTGGTTCATAGCCACCATGTCTGTCTTCAAACATTAAAGAAAAAATTCCCTCTTTTAGGCAGGGAAGGTCATTCCCAAACGTAAACAGTGGAGCGCAGAACAAACTAGAGGCCCAAAGAGGGTGAAGGTTGAAGTCAAATCCACTCAAACAGAAGAAACTCAGTGTTTGACGGATGGCATTTCAACTGACGCATATGAACTTATGGTCAAAGGTATGTGGGATCCATAATCAGTGAACAACTTATCACAAAATGGTGCTGTACTCCCAAATGCAATTTCAGTTTTATCTTGAGTTTGAACCTCTGCTGTTGTAGAAACACCTCCTTCCACCTACTGGAAAGAGGTAGCCGAGGAGCGACGGAAGGCCTTGTACAATGTTCTACAGGAGAACGAGAAGGTGAGTTAATCACTAATAGGTGGCTAATGTTTAGCTGTCAGATGAGCTGTTCCCACGCTCCCTCTGTCAACCCTAGTTGGCTCCAGTCCAGCTGGCACTGATTTTGAAGTAACTCTGCACCTAAATACACATTGAAATCAGTCTTTAATTTTGAAAGAATTTATACTGAATGTGCCAGTCCTGCTAAAATAAACCTTGATTACTATACAGTGATTTTTGGGAAGGATTATTTTGAAGTTGGTCCTTGTACTTTTTTCCAACAGCTTATTTTTTTTGAGTGCTTTAATCAGTAGTTAGTGTTGTAGTTTTAACAATGCATTATATTAACTTGACCATTGTTTACTTTTTCCAAGTTTGATGTCCACCATGCTTAATGATTTCCCCTTTTTTTTCCCCCTTAAATCAGTTGCACAAAGACATCGAGGCCAAAGATGAACAGATAACAAAACTTAAGAGTGAAAATGAAGAGTTGCAAGAGCTGGCTCAGCATGTACAATATATGGCTGATATGATTGAGGTAAGCACAGTGGCATTGACTCTGTGTGTACACATGAACTAATATTTCATGATCACAGGCATATACTGTTAACTGGCTTGATAACCTGGTTTGAATTTCCTGAGCTATATTCCTTAATTCTTGACTCAACAATAAATGTTGCATGGTCAGATATACTAGGTGTGAACTAGGGCTGGGACGATTATCCGACGTAATCGACGTTGTCGATTATAAAAATTATTCGACGTGGAATTTTAGTGTCGACGCGTCGTGTAAAACCACACAGGGTAAATGTTCATAGAACAAAACCGGAACTTTCTAATGGGACCGTTTATATCCATCGTCTTTGGTTTACACGGATACAAGCGCAACGCAAGGGCTGGGACAACGCGGTGACGTAATTGAAGTCATTGACTACGTGAATGATTTGCGTCTGTAATCATTTGAACAACATGGCGGCGTGTACCAGTAGTACGACGGAGCGTGTGGAGCAGCACGCGGCAAAAAAGGCTCGCACACGGTCCTCCAAAGTTTGGAAATACTTTAATCTTGACACCAACAGTGCGGTAGTCTGCAGACTCTGCAAAGTGCATCTGGCATATCACTCTAGCACGACAGTCGTGCACGAGCACAAAGAGCTCATGGTGGTGTTTTAAGAAATGTTTTTAATAAATATTGAAATGGTAAATGTTTTTTTGTTGGACGGGGCAAATTGTTATATTAAATGACTAACTGGAAAATAATAGCAATAAAATTACTGTTAGGTTAATAAAAAAAAAAAAAAAAAAAAAAAAAAAATCGTTCGATTAGTCGAATAATCGAAAAAAATAATCGCTAGATTAATCGTTTAAAGAATAATTGTTTGGGACAGCCCTAGTGTGAACACTATCCTTTGTTCCAGTGATCAGTAAACTGTAGCTACTACACTGAGTGACCTCTTAGTACTTGATGTAAACTTCGTGTATCATGTCCTTTTTGTTTTTATAGAGGCTGACTGGGAAGTGCCCAGACAATCTGGAGGAACTCAAAGACATTGCCCTTGATGTGGATGAGCATGATGGTGAGGTGGCAGGTCAGAGTCAGGAAGAAGACTGATTACAGTCAGAGTGATGCAGAGGAAGATGAGATCTCAGACCATGAACAAGCAGGCGCCTCTGGAGACCAGGATTAACTGACAACTCTTGCATGTCATGGGACTTTGGTTGTATTATACAGGTCAGTAGATTTTAGCGAGTGTACTTTGGCAGCAAAAAGTGATCATCTCTTTGAAGAGATGATCAAAGTAATATGTTCAGACTGCATCCTTCTTGAAAGGTGATAGATTTTAAAACTTGAACAGACAGAAACTGATTTTTATTTTATTTTATTTTTTTATAATGCAATGTTTCAGTTTTTGCTAAACTTATCAATTCTTGGTCAAGAGAAATGTGCAAAACTAAACCTGTATAGACCATTTTCATGGAAGACATTTTGACAAGACTAGGGGAAAGCAGAGGTGAAATGTCGTGACCTCAGTTGACAACATTGAAGACAGGATGCAGGTTCCACCTGAACCACTGTGATTTTGACTTTCACTCCCGCTAGATGGTGGTTGCAGGGCTCGGTGTCCTCTGTACATACCCAACCATTCCCTGACTGCGCAGAGGTTAGTGTTTCAGTTGATTTGGGTTAAGGAAAAACTGAATACATCAGGATGATGGTTACTATTCACTGTCACCAAGAAGGTGGTTGCTATTCTGCAGCATGCCAACTTTTCTTACATCAGTCTCGTTAGCCCTCTTGAAAGTCAGGAACCAATCAATGACAACCATGTGACAGTTTCCTTTTGCTTTTCCTACTCTAAAAGTCAAAATGTCTTCTGTGAAAAGGCCTATTGAGGCAATTGTGCTCCATTCACTTAGGTGTAGCCTACTTAAAGCATGGCCTTCAAGAGTTTTTTTTTTATTTTTTTTTGTTTACTGTAAAAAATGTACAATGTTGTATCACAGCTGTGTGTGTGTGTGTATATATAAAGCCTCTGTAAAATAAACCCCTCTTTTTTTTAAACAAAGTATCTTGTGACTTAAGTTCATAGTTTAGGGCATATGAATCTTGTAACTGCGTGAAATGTTGGAAGCTGGATGTGTTGACGTGAGGGTGACTTGTGTAACCAGCAACTATAGTACTGTTATTGGTAAACAAACCTGGCAGATGGACTCTGCTGCTGTCAAGCCAAAAACATTCACTGAGGTGTTGGGATTGTTTTCATGAAGCTGATCTTTTTACATGTTTCAACTTTAAACAGACTGCTGCTTTTGCCACATTAAATATTCTGCTCATGGCAGTTGATGAAGTTCTGTAACTGGGTTATCTTATCTTATTGCACTAGTAAAAATGATAGCATTTTAAAGAAAAGGCTTTTTGCACTAAAGTTTAAAATCTATTTTTGTCACCATCGATACCATTTTCCTTATGTTAAGGTATTGTTCAGCTTTGAATATGTGCTAGTATCAGTCAGTTGTTTAATTTTTTTTTTTTTTTTTTTTGGGTTGCCTCTAAGGAAGCAATCAGCTGAGGCCTGTACTAGGAAGCAGGATTTGGGGCTAGGGAGGTAACTTCAGGTTTAATTCTGTTTTTAGGGTTATGACAGTGGTTCACGTCTTACCTGGGTAAATCACCTTGGTAGCTTCTGCTGAACTCCTGCTCTGGAGCAGGTTAACTTCAGAGGATCAGATCAAAACTGGTCCACAGTCCAGTGGACAGATTACTGCAAAACAGCATGGCTTTTACTGTTCATGTATCCCACAAATGTTTTTGTCAACAAAGACAGTGCTAACAGAAATTAAAACATTGGTTCTTGACAGACATTTGAGACTTAAGAAATTCACAATTTTATTTTAATTATGCAAAAATAAAATTTATTGCAACTTTTGATGAGCAGAAGAAACACTGCTAACCACAATGGAGAAGAGTAGTATGCAACTAAATGGATGAGCACTGAAGCTATTGACCACAGAGATGGATGAAGTTCAATTTTAGCAAAAGTGTACTGAGTTATTCTTAAAATCAGACTATATCATTAAACATGTGCACATTTTGCCAACTTGTACTTTGTGGTGATAAGGAATTGAACAGTCAATAAACACTGGTCAAATGCAAGTTTGTAGAAAGGGAAAAAAAAGACAGAGTGGGTGAATCAGATACTAGACCAAAATACTGCAACTGTACTTAAAATGTGGACCATGTTTTGCAAAAGGTATAGGAAAAAAAAACTTTAAACCATCTTCAGCTTTTAGTAACAACTTCACACATTTACATATTATATTACAAAAGAAAAAATACATTTCATAAAAATATTACCACTTGTTTTTAATCATTATGGCTTTTGGACTGTGCAGTTAGAACCAAATGTAGCTAGATTCATATATTATGGGTTTGTCTTTTCTTTTTAAGTTGTGCTTCTAAATATAAGTCTGAGTATTCTGGCCAAAATGCAAATGTTGTATTGAAAATACATTCTCCGATGAATTATGAGCTTTTATTAAAAGACAATTTTAAAATTAATTCTTCCTTTGGTTACAGTAAATCTAAGTAATAAAGTAACATTTCTAATATACGACGTCCCTTTCTGTTTGGGACCTTTTAGGGAAAAGAAATCTATAACACTATTAGACTATGAGCAAATCTTTATCTTCTCCAAAATAATAATTCATCTAATATAATTCTTTCAAAATAAACTCCAATTAAAGTTAAGCATGAGATCATGGTAATAACATGGAGGCCTTTTTAAACAATAAACTATATTTCAAATCCTGGACCTGATCCAAAATATATAACATAAATATACAATTCATTTACATAACAATGTCATCTGCACTATTACAGTATAACTCCAAAGAATATTAGAATTACAAGGAGTAAATAATAAATAAGATGTGAGAACAAATGTGAGTTTTATCGTCTCACTAGACTCAGTAGTACAGTTACAATGTGAAGAGTTGGAATTATCTGCGTTCCTCGGGTCAGTGTTCCCACATTACAGACCCAAGACGTACCAAACAGAACACTTCATTCTGCAGTTTCTCATAATAAAAGCTTAATTTCTAATCGTGCTATTAGCTCACATACTGTATGAATGTGCAGTTAGCCAAAACTGAGGCTACACCTATACTCTGCCCAAGGGATCCTCCTCCTCTCTGTACAGTTATTGAGAAAGTGCATTCTCACGCTCCTAAACTGTATTTATTGCCCTCGGCCGGCTCCACACCTGGTAGGAAAAATACATTTACAAAAGAAAGTATTTGTGGAACCTGCCTGCTCGACCACATCAAGGCTCAAATGGTCAAGGCTGACTTTATCAAATGTCTTTTCATGTCAGCTATATACAGAAAAATTGCACTTGTTCAACTGCAAATATGAATAAACTCAGCCATAAACTGCTGAGAGAGTGAACCTTGGGCACTCAGTTGTTCCTCTCCTTTTACTCCACTGAGGTCTGAACTGAGGTCTTAATCTGTTCAAGACTGTAAACTGCTCTTTAACCACTTTACCTCACTCGCTCCAAGAAGCCATTCTCAACTTATTAATGGTCCTCCCTGCCACACACTTTCGACCATACAAGAATCCCTGAAACTCAAAATGGAACGTACTAGAAAACACAACTTAAAAATACATTTTGAATACAACCATATATTACACGAGCTGTGTAAAATATGCCATATTTACATGCCTTACAACAGTGCAAATCTTCTGAAAGCACCAAAAAACATCTCTAATGCAAAACCACCAACTTAAACATGTGATAAACAGTGATTATACAAAGATCATAGTTAGTATATTGCGTGACACAACTGACTCTGTAACAGCCAAGATGATGGTTAATCAGTGAATAAGTGATACAAGTTTTGTGTGCAGTGGTGGATAGCTTGTTGACAGAGGTTGTGTGAGGGGTGAAGATGCATTGCTCAATTTCCAGTTTCCACAGTCTTTGGAGCAGCTTTCAGCGGCTTCAGTGTCCAGTCAAATTCGTGCTCTCAAGTTAAAACTCAACATGATCAGACTGCCTGGCTCAGGAAGCAGGGGGAGGGGGGTGGGTAGGAGTGTGGGGTTGTGCGAAATTGGAGGTGATGGTGTGTGTGTGTTTGTGTGTGTGTGTGTGTGTGCAGGAGGGGTATAGGTTGTGTGTCTTTGTGGTTAAGACAGTTTGTTTGGTGTTAGTTCCTTTTAGGAGGCAGTATCAGTAAGAACAGTGATCTAATGTGGCGGTGTGGAGATCTTTAAGTCTGTTCCAGAGGGCAGATCAATAAACTGATCAGTCTTTAACAGTGCAGTGTGATGTCAAGCTGAGGGGGCAGTGTTTTCCTCAGCTGGGGAGTAATCTGTGATCTTCTCAGTGGCACGATGGCTCAGAAGGCCGTGGTGACGGCGTTTCCTCGCCGTGTGCCCAGACGGATCATTTCCCCCGGCACTGTGTCCAGCTGCTCGTACGCCAGCCGCCCCTCCTCACCTGTGACAAACACAAGTGTTAGCTATTAGCAGTGTACCTGCAAGCAGCTTTGAGTAATGACAAATAACTCACTATATCTCAAATTACATTTATGACATCCCTGTGCTGTTTAATTAGGACAAAATATTTCTGCTTTAGGTCAAAACAAAGGTGACAAATCATCTTTTACTATTTGGATCTCAAGAAAACTTTGTGCAAAGCACATTTGTCTTGGTATTATACTGTATATGCTACATTTATATACAGCTTTTTAATATTTTTATACCTTATGGTGTGAGATTGATATGTGTATACAATGTAATTCTGTAACAACAGTGATTTGTAGAAGCACAGCAAAAAGACCAAGCTGAGCAATATTTGACTTCCATAAATTTTGTTATTCACCAAATGTCAGCAGGGTTTCTATGGCGACATGGCGAAGCTCCTCATCGGCTGAATCACACAGCGCTACCACCGCCCTGATGCTCTCTACAGCCTGCAGACAGACAGGAAGAACATGCAAGAATGTGACGGTATGGTTAAAGAAGTTTTTCTCTTTTTTTCATGACATATATGTGATAGTGCTGTAGCATGACAGCTCCTGTGACATTGCAGCATATAAGTAATGAACCAATCTGATCGTAAAAATACATTAGGAACATATATCTTTGCATCACGCCTAACGAGTAGTTCAGCTCTCACATGAATGCATGCTGAATTAGAAGTTCTTAGAACAGCAGTACCATGTTAAACACAGTTTAGCTGACCTAATGAAATTCTTCATGCGGCAGAAAAGTGTCACAACTATAGATAATGTAAGAGGCCACTGACCTGGAGACAGCTGAGAGCCGAACATGCCGCCCTCTGGCTCTGAACTCCAGCCTCTGACAGAGCCTGGGTGTAGCACTCCACAGCCTGTAAACACACAAACATTCAAACATGACATGCTGCATCTTTCAAGACGAGGTGCAATGGTATAAAATACACTTATGCTCTCTCTTAAGCACTACTCACCCTGGTCCTGAAGTGGCTGCGTAACGCTCCAGAAGAGAGGTAGTCGGCTGCTGCCTTGTTGACCTGAGGGTTGTCTGCAGTGAGCAGGGAGGCCAGGGCCCTCAGGGTGCTGTTTTTAGGCCACAGGGATGACACAGGCACCGCATCCATCTCTGCTAGACACTGAGAATAATCCCCACTGCACAGAGCCTCTGCCAACACCTCTGAGTATGAGAAATAAACACAGACACACGTTAAAGGTCAAACCATGGATTGTAGAGCAACAAGCAGAAGTTTCTGTGATCCTGAGATGAGCCTGGAGCTGGTTTCTGATCTGGGCTATTTTGTCTTATAAATGATAAAAAATGAATAAATATCTAGGAATTTATTAGTGTTTATTTTAGTTATTAAAGAAAGGCAGGATCACAACTTTTGCTCACCCTCTCTTGCCAGGTGCAGCAGGTGTGTCTCCATGTCCTGAACCTCATGTTGTAGGATGTAGCTGTGGAACTGAAACACGGTCAGGACGTCCTGGGACAGAGCAGAGGCAGGAGGATCGTGCGACGTCACCAGGTCGCTCCTGTCAACCATCTCGCCCACTACAACACCAACCACTGGAGAGAATGAGAAAAGAAAATTAGCAAATATTCAGAGTTTATAGCCAACTGCATCTACACTGTGTTTTAATCTGTTATCAGAAACAACATATTCTTAGCAACTACAGTGATCTCATTTTTTCCCTAGGAACATATTTAAAACTGTTACTGATTTACAAACCAAATAAGTGACTCAGTTGAAACAAGATGAAATTTTAAGTATAACCTCTGTTGTGTTTTCAGAGAGAAAATAGGGAGAGCCAACCTGTGTCAGCGCTGTGTGGGTGTCTCTCCTGCAGCACTGCCGTGTAGCGCTGGTTCATGTGTTTGAACACTCTGTCCAGTGTGGTGTGGAAAAGTCCTGCAGACCCGCTGCACTCTGACCACAGTGTCATCAGTTCTGGGCGCTCTGCAAGGCCCGGGAGAACTGAGGGAGAACAGGAGGTCAGACGCTACAAACCCTCAAACCTTTTGTGTGTGGTAATCATTTTATTATGCATATAGGCTGCTCTGAAGTGCAAGATAGAGACATTGTTACTTGATACGACATGCAACATACGGATACCTACCATCAGCAGCAGATGTAATAGCTCCCAGTCGGTCCACACTGATCTCTGCTAGTTCTTCTAACAGCTGAGTCTGTCCGGACAGTTTGAGGAGCAGACTGCGACGCTGCCACACACCCACCCCACTCGTCAACAACTGCAGATACATGAAGAATCAAAGCCATGTTAGACCAATTTTGTAGTTTCAGGGATTAAACTGTTTGATGTCGTCCAAATAAAACATTTGCATCAGGAGAATCTCTACCTGTATGAGGTGATTACAGTACTGCAGGTGGATGACGATGGCCACGTCCAGGTTCTCGTTTCCGGTTGTAAGGGGCAGGGGGCTTCCGGCCACGCTGTTGCCTACCCCGGTGTCTTCTGTCAGGGCTTCACTCAGGTGTCCCCTGGCTTCTGGATGCTGGCCCCTGAGAGGTAGGCACCAAGAGTCACCACTGTGTGGCAGCAGCCTTACACAGAACTACTGTACTTATAGTCAAATAGTTTTCAATTGAATACTGCTATGAAGTAAGATAGCAGTAAATAAGTAAATAAGTAAATAAGTAAAAAGTTATATATTTAGCCTGAGATGTTTTTCTTTAGAGCGAAATAAGATGCAGTTCTGTTTTATAAGAATAAAACCCTTCATACTCTTGTGCTACTTTTGCACATAACTAAGAAACATTGCTTTAATCAATGAATAGCAATTGACTTAAAATGAAGCATCAACAGTTCAGGTATCTATCAGCTCTTAGAATGATTTTTGGTATGTGATATTACTTGATTTTCCATCTCAAAAGCTGTACCATGCATGCATTTGTAAATGAAATGCCATAATACAATGACAAAATGTACTTATCAATGTCAGCCAACATAAAGTGTCTCACTCAATCTCCCACTCACCCGATCCTCTCTCCGTCCGCATCAAAAAATTGAGACCTCTGTGGGGGAATGCTGAGGACGGCGTTATCGTCTCCAGTGTCCTCATCATCGAAGTCAGAGGTGTTGAGGAAGTCGAAGCTCTCCAGGGCGCTCTCCACCGTCAGACTGAGGCTGGATGATCTGCTTCTGTGGCCTGGGAGACGACACTGGAGAGGGAAGGGCGGGGGTGGGGAGGAGAAAGTGGGTTAATAACTCTTTACTCGCAGCTTGATACATCTTTGGTTCTATCGCTGGATATTGTGACATCTGAATCCAAGTACTTTACAAAAGTAATACTGGGATTCATCCTGGAAAACATGGCACCCAGAGACATGGCACACAACAGTGTTGAGGGCAGGTGGAGGATTTAAGAAGCATGTAATATCTAGTCACCATGTTGGGCAAGGAACAAAGAAAAAAGAAAATCTAGTTTGTTTGAAAAGTAACATTTCCTGACACTACTTGAAATGTTTTGTTCATTCAGGGTCAAAATTTAAATTTAAAATGACATCGTCCACATGTGTAAATATAAAATGGACGCATATTAAGGGTTCAGTCACCTTGAGTAGGTCTTCCAGGCGCATCACTTCCTGTTCCAGGTCCTGCAGCTCTCGGCAGCGGTGAGTCAGTGACTCCAGCCTCATCAGCAGGCTGTGGATGGCCTCCTCCAGGCTGCTCTCCAGGAAAGCCCTGCTCCCCTCGCCTGCCCAGCTCAGGCTTCCTCCACCCTCAGTAGAGCTCCCACTGGGTGGCACGATTTCAGAGGAAGTCAGCCTCTTCACAAGCTGCCTGGTCAGGCTGCCCGCCTCTTCTGTGTCAAGTTCCACAGGTTTCAGTTCGTCCGCGTGATCCAGGAAAACATCCTCTGGAGCCACGGTAGACAGGTGGCTGTCAGAGCACAACGACGGGGCAGCTGAACCACAGTTGGAGCCAGAATTTCGCTGGGACTCTGTGCGCTCCCACTCTGAGTCCTCTGCCACCTCAGCTTCATCACTGGCGAGGCTGGCGCTGGTGCCCCTACTCCCTCTACTACCCGTCTCTCCATCCTCCTCGTACTCCTCCTCCTCTTCCTCCTCTAAATGCTCCTCTGCGATGGAGTCCTCTCTTGTTGGGAGGATTTGTGTAGGTGATGGTTCCATTTCTGGAGGAGTGACGGTGATCTCCGGGTTGGACTGGCCGGTGGAGTGGGAGCTCGGGGCGGGGCTGGGGCTGGGCGTGGAACCAGAAGTGTCAGAGAAGGTGAAGGAGAGACGCTTGCATTCAGCCACGCCACAGCCGCCATTCTCAAAAACGTCATCCGGTAAAGTGGACTGAAAGGAGAGACAGGAAAGTAAATATTTGGAAGCTAAAGACTGAGATATCGCATGAAATCAGTGCATGTAAGAACTTAAGTACAAGAGAAAGCTCTCTCAAGTGGAAAAAGATTCAGCATACTCCGCTTTTTCTCTCTAGATTCTTATGACCTGACCTGTTCAACCAAGACAGAATCACAGCGAGGTAAATCTTAGTAGAAAAACATCACAAGAACAAAGACAGCTTAAAGCATGTCATGCAAATAAACATGCAAACAGCCACACATGGCATTCAGCAGCCCACAGAATGGACTGGACAAGCCCAAGTATGTCCACACCACCAGAAGTACATCCCCATCATGTCGGTGAGGCAGGGGGCACACAAGAGTCAGGTTAGGAGGGTCAAGGGGCCACAGCACACTCACATAGACCTCCAGACTGGATTTGGGCCTTGGCCGGAGTGAGGCCAGGTCACCAAACGAGCGACTGCGCCTTAGCTTCTCTAGCAGGGTGTCTCGGAGCATGTGCAGGAAGGAGAGGCGCTGGCGCTCCACGGGATATGGCCGCCACTTCTTTACACAATGCACGCAGGGTGTTGGGTATTTGAGTGAGGGCAGGTGAGTGGGATACAGGAGGGATGGATAAACGTGTAAAGTGGGACAGAGTGTGGGTAAAGGGTTTTGATGTGGAAATACAAAGTGGAGGGGGATAGCAGGGAAATTGGTGAGGGTTAGTTAGGGGGTATGGCAAGCATTGCTTACATAAAAATGATGCATCAACAGAAAATTGTGAGCCATAATCAAAATTTCCTGATAGTATGCAGCAGAGAGTACACAGGGTTTGTGTGTGTAAGGATCTCACAATGTGCTAAGGACTACAGATACCCACAAAATCGTCTGTCTCCCACCACAGCAATGAGGCTAAAGGAGGTGTATGTGTGTTGGACTTACAAAGAAGGAGGTGTCCTGGAAGGTGGGGGTCTCTGGCGTTCCCTGGCTGTAGACTGACACTCGTCTCTGGAGAGCTGTGGCTTTGCTCACATTGCCGGACGACAGAGTGAGGTCCTCGACGTCGAAGGGGCTGGACAGGGAAGAGTGAAAACAAGGCACTTAATGTGATTGCACTATGTGATTTACCCCTGCGTACCCACTGTATAAGTGATGTCATTCATTCGGTGTTGTCAGAGAGCAGGATTTATTTTCCTAGTTACGGTAGCTACTATTACATGTTTCTCCACCAGATGGCAGGATAATACAAGTCATGTAGACACTGAATTTACAGCTACGCCACTAACAACAGCGACTGTGTTTCTGTATCAACTAAACATATGGACAGACCCGTAACAGATTGTACGAGGATCAAAAGTAGTTTGAGACTGTATTTCACAACAATGATACACAGCAGCAGTGATACCAGCAGGAGTGTTCGAAGGCTCTTTGAATAAATTTTACTTAAACAATGTAAATTCAACATGTATTCCTTCATGAAAGTGAAATAAAATATGCTCAACCCACTGAAAGAGTTTATGGGCTGAAACTTTGATGTATGATGTTTTCATTTGACGTTTTTATGCCTTGCTATACTATGACTTTTTATGCCTTGCTATACTATGACTTTTTTTTGCCTAACTATCCTATGATTTTTTTTTCCTTAATATATTATGACTTTTTATGCTTTACTATAGTATGACATTCTTATGCCTTACTACTATGACTTTTAATGACTTACTATAGTATGACTTTTATGCCTTACTTTACTGTGATGTTTTGTGACGTTTTTATGGCTTACTATACTATGATGTTTTTATGCTTTACTATACTATGGCATTTTTATGCCTTACTATCCTATGATTTTGTTTTTGCCTTACTATAATATGAGATTTTTATGCCTTACTATACTATGACTTTTTATGCCTTACTATACTATGACTTTTTTTGCCTTACTATAATATGACATTTTTATGCCTTACTATACTGTGACTTTTTATGCCTTACTATAATATGACTTTTTATGCCTTACTATACCATGACGTTTTTATGACTTTTTATACTATGATGTTTTTATGCCTTATTATGATTTTTTTTATCTTATACTATACTATGACATTTTTATGCCTTATTATACTATGAAGTTTTTATGCCTTACTATAATATGACTTTTTATGCCTTACTATACTATGACTTTTTTTGCCGTACTATAATATGACATTTTTATGCCTTACTATACTATGACTTTTTATGCCTTACTATAATATGACATTTTTATGCCTTACTATAATATGACGTTTTTATGACTTACTATACTATGACTTTTTATGCCTTACTATAATATGACGTTTTTATGCCTTACTATACTATGACTTTTTATGCCTTACTATAATATGACATTTTATGGCCTTACTATACTATGACGTTTTTATGCCTTACTATACTATGACTTTTTATGACTTTTTATGCCTTAATATAATATGAAGTTTTTATGCCTTACTATAATATGACTTTTTATGCCTTACTATAATGACATTTTTATGCCTTATTATACTATGAAGTTTTTATGCCTTACTATAATATGACTTTTTATGACTTTTTATGCCTTACTATACTATAACTTTTTTTGCCGTACTATAACATGACATTTTTATGCCTTACTATAATATGACGTTTTCATGCCTTACTATAATATGACGTTTTTATGACTTACTATACTATGACTTTTTATGCCTTACTGTAATATGACGTTTTTATGCCTTACTATACTCTGACTTTTTATGACTTACTATACTATGACTTTTTATGCCTTACTATAATATGACATTTTATGGCCTTACTATACTATGACGTTTTTATGACTTACTATACTATGACTTTTTATGCCTTACTATAATATGACGTTTTTATGCCTTACTATACTATGACTTTTTATGCCTTACTATAATATGACATTTTATGGCCTTACTATACTATGACGTTTTTATGCCTTACTATACTATGACTTTTTATGCCTTAGTATAATATAACATGACATTTTTATGCCTTACTATAATATGACATTTTTATGCCTTACTATACTATGACTTTTTATGCCTTACTATAATATGACCTTTTTATGACTTACTATACTATGACTTTTTATGCCTTTTTATGCCTTACTATACTATGACTTTTTATGCCTTACTATACTATGAAGTTTTTATGCCTTACTATAATATGACTTTTTATGCCTTACTATACTATGACTTTTTTTGCCTTACTATAACATGACATTTTTATGCCTTACTATAATATGACATTTTTATGCCTTACTATACTATGACTTTTTATGCCTTACTATAATATAAAATTTTTATGCCTTACTATGACTTTTTATGCCTTACTATAATATGACCTTTTTATGCCTTACTATACTATGACTTTTTATGCATTACTATACTATGACGTTTTTATGCCTTACTATAATATGACATTTTTATGACTTACTATGTTATGACTTTTTATGCCTTACTCTAATATGACCTTTTTATGCCTTACTATACTATGACTTTTTATGCCTTACTATACTATGAGTTTTTATGCCTTACTATACTATGACATTTTTATGACTTACTATACTATGACTTTTTATGCCTTACTATACTATGACTTTTTATGCCTTACTATACTATGACTTTTTTTGCATTACTATAATATGACATTTTATGCCTTACTATAATATGACGTTTTCATGCCTTACTATACTATGACGTTTTTATGCCTTAATATAATATGACATTTTTATGCCTTACTATACTATGACTTTTTATGCCTTACTACAATATGACTTTTTATATCTTACTATACCATGACGTTTTTATGACTTACAATAATATGACATTTTTATGTCTTACTATACTATGACTTTTTTATGCCTTACAAAACTATGACGTTTTTATGCCTTATCATAGTATGACTTTTTATGCCTTACTATACTATGACGTTTTTATGCCTTACTATACTATGACATTTTTATGACTTACTATACTATGACGTTTTTTGACGTTTTTATGCCTTACTATACTATGACATTTTTATGCCTTACCATAGTATGACTTTTTATGCCTTACTATACTATGGTGTTTTTTATGCCTTACTATACTATGACATTTTTTGATGTTTTTATGCCTTACTATACTATGACATTTTTCGACGTTTTTATGCCTTACTATACTATGTCATTTTTTATGCCTTACTGTACTATGGCGTTTTTTGACGTTTTTTATGCCTTACTATACTATGACTTTTTTGACGTTTTTATGCCTTACTATACTATGGCGTTTTTTGACGTTTTTATGCCTTACTATACTATGACATTTTTATGACTTACTATACTATGACTTTTTATGCCTTACTATACTATGACTTTTTTGACATTTTTATGCCTTACTATACTATGGCGTTTTTTGACGTTTTTTATACCTTACTATACTATGACGTTTTTTCATGTTTTCATGCCTTACTATTCTATGCCATTTTTTATGCCTTACTATACTATGACGTTTTTTGACGTTTTTATGCCTTACTGTACTATGGCGTTTTTTGACGTTTTTTATGCCTTACTATACTATGACGTTTTTTCACGTTTTCATGCCTTACTATTCTATGCCATTTTTTATGCCTTACTATACTATGACGTTTTTTGACGTTTTTTATGCCTTACTATACTATGGCGTTTTTT